TCATACTTTAGGCAAAAACAAGGGCTCAGAACTTCTTATGAAAGGTACATTGATCATGTACAAAATAAATCACAAACAGAAAATATATTGAAACAAAGTTTCCGCAAAAAATACAATCTTTCTTTTTCTTTTACAAAAAAATTTGATTATCTAATTTTGTTATAAGGTATCTTCACTACGTTCTAAAGAATATATTACAAAACAAAGATTGATGCCATTAATGATACAAAAATCGTTTCTTTAAAAAATGTTGTTGTCATAATATAATATATTATAATATAATATTCTTTGAAGATTTGCAATTTAGAGCTAAAACAAAGAGATAAGTAGTAAAATTCAAAAAAAATTTAAGAGCCAAAAACAAGTTTTTAGGGGCCAAAATGCATTTTTGCTGCTCGGTGTGATTTTCTTTTTTAACCTTAGAATATACGCTTGCATTTCCTGTACCATCATTTATATACTGTCAATTTAATTTGCTCTCTTCCTCTCATGCTCTTCTTAACAGGAAGTGCTGATTCTAAGCACAGACTGTGTTTTTAACTTTGTGCATTAATAGATCAGTATGGAGCTCAGGTTACTTCCTCTAATGCTCTGTGAGTATCATTTTCTCATTTATGTATTATTTATGTATTATTTTTCTTATTTTGTGTAGTGATGGAGTGAATCAGTGAATCACTGTGTTTTTAATCTTCTTATGTATTTGATCAGTTTTTCATTCATGCTGCTAATAATCTGTGGCAGAATATCAAATCATTCAGTTCATGATATCTGTGTGTGACAAACATGTGCTGTAGTTGAATGGGATCAGTGTATTTATCGCTGTTGTGATGGCTTCAGTCATACAATTTAAGGTTTGTTAAGACCATTTCATGCTGCACGAACCCAACGAACCCTGATAGAACGTGTTCAGTCAGTGAAAAGAAACAAACACAAACAGGGGTGACACACTGATCCAATAAAATACGATGAATGTGTGTTTTTCTGTTGGCTGCCGTCTCTTAATGCACTGTGGCCTCAATGGTTCACGTTGAATTGGACATGTCGCGTTCTGTAATCAAGTTTTTTTTTTTTTTTAAGTGTTGTCTTCAGTAGATCTTCATTAGCAGATTTGAGTGCATCTACATAGTCTTTACCTGTGACACTGAACTCTCAGAGTCTTGGTTTAGGTTTTGTCATTCTTGAATTGTTGATCAGCCGTAGAACAGGGGCGTAGATCACGCGTAGATCCCCCCCACATTTAATATCACGTAAATTCGTTCCCCGCACTTTTTCAGGCAAGTGTGTTTGCATAGAGGTTTTCAAGAGCTGGTGTGAATAAATATAGATTTTAATTCAAAGAGACAGGATAGTCTGTGAATGACCTGATGCTTTATTTGGACCTAGAATAAGGCGAGATGAACATCGCGGAGCGCTAAACACTCATGCAGTGTGTGTTTCATTCATACTCGAAGCCGGAGGGTGCTCTCGCGCAGAAAGTTGTACCAGGAAATCCCTAAATGGACAAAAGCATCTGTTGCTGTATGAAAACAGAGTATTGTTTACTTTTCACAGAAAAACTAAAACGTTTGGAAACATGAAGACATTAAACATTAGATTGCGACAATATATGGTTTATTTGTGTTTTTCAAGTCATCTCCAGGTAATAAATAAAGTATATTAACAATGCAGTGCTAATTCACATAGCATTCATTACAGTATATAAACTATTCTGCCTTATTATGTGATGATAATAAGAAAATATGTGATAAGTGTTTGTAGTATATAAACAAATCATTATTATTGGTTATTGTCCAGCAGTGTATCTGATTTCTTAGCCAGTTAAAAGCTAGAAAAAAAATTAAAGTTGCCTATACACTACCAGTATTTTTAAAGAAGTCTCTTCTGTTCACCAATTAATTTGATACAAAGTACAACAAAATAGTAACATTTTGAAAAATGTTTTACTATTTAAAATAACTTTGCTATTTAAATATATTTTAAAATGTAATTTATTCCTGTGATTTCAAAGCAAAATTTTAGCATCATTACTCCAGTCACTTGATCCTTCAGAAATCATTCTAATATTATGATTTGCTGCTCAAAAAAAAAATAAAAAAAAATAAATTTGTGAACATCTTTATGAACATTAAAAACATTTAATGACTTCTTTAAAAACATTAAAAATCTTACTGCTCAAAAACTTTTGACTGGTAGGTTATATAGGCATATATATATATATATATATATATATATATATATATAGTATAATACAGAAATGTTATATTCTGATGTTATATACTTGTGCTCTGAGAATATTTTCATTGCTATACAGTAGGGGGTGCTATTACACATCTTCTGTACAGAATTTCCAAAACACAAGCGAAGAAGAAACTGAAAAAACAACAGATGCTTCCACGCGTATTCTAACACGATCATCAGACATAAAGCAGCATCAAAACTGTGTAACGTTATGGAATAAAATGTCGACCAATGAAGAGTTAATAATGATTGTCAAGCTTTGGGGTGTTGATCGACTACATCTACGTTTTGATTATCATTCTGAATCCAATTCATAGTCTTTTTTCAGCTTTTCGTTTAAAATATTGTTTATTGTAGTATATTGTAGAATTTTGTTTTCTTGCAGTATAAAACTACTAAAGTAGTAGTTTACTGAGACTATACATCAAAGTGTACTAAAAATGCTACAAGTATTTAATTAGTAAACCATCAGTATACCTATAAGTTTACTTTTAGTATAGTTGCAGTACAAACTAAAAGCATATAGGTAAACTAGTTGTGTACTCAAAGTCTACCACTGTTATACTTAACGTATACTTAAAAGTATACTTTTATATACTAAAAAGTGGGCCAATTTAGTCCCAATGAGTATTGAAATAGTACACTAACAAGTATACTACTAGTACACTGCTATTTGTTTACTTACTACATAAAGTATACTTAATAAAATAAACTTGAAGTATACTTCTTTTCGGTAAGGGAGTAATTCCGTCAACTTGCGAGGAAGGGCTTTTCATATTATTCTGTCTACTGGTCATAGGTTTATATTTACAATGTGTTTTTGTAATGTTGAGCAATGTAGCCAATCATAGACATATCTATTGATTTCATGAATGCAATGGCCAGTCAAAGGTGGTCACAATTAGATGAGTTTTAAGGACTAAATTAGCGACTGCAGGGGGACTTTAAGCATTAAAATGAATGTGAAAAGTTTAAGTTTATTCATAATCATATATAACATTTTGAAGCAGCATCATCTATAAATCAATGTGATTTTCTTTTTGTTTTTTAGTGTTGATTTCCAACATCTCCCCTGGATGCACTCAAGGTGATTCATATTTTTGTTGACATTTTTTGTGTATTTTAGCCATTTTGCCTTATTGTACAGATCAGTTGACATTATTCTCTTCACCTTTCAGCCATCGAACATCAAAAGGAAACTTAAAAGTGTAAGAGTACTAACAAATTAGTTCAGATGAGTCTTTTTGCAGCAGTATTATGGAACGTGTTAAATAATACCATAGTTAAAGTAAGCTTATATTATGTTTGTGTAATGTTTAATGTTTGAATTCATTTTGACAAATGTTGTATTTCCCTGCTTTAGAAATATTCAAGTAAACACTGCTAATAGGAATTAGAAGTGAAAAGGGGAAAAATTACATTTGCATTTGCAGACAACAAATGTGCAGTGTCTGTTGTCTTTTTCATATTAATACAGAAGAATACAATTAAGAAAATAATCATCACAACAAAGCTCTTGTGACAGATATTCTTGTGATACTATTCTTGTGATCCTAATGTCACACAAAAACACAAAGCGTTACTTTATTTCACTGATGGAAAAAATAGAGCATGACAAAAAATGTACAGCTCATAGAGTCAAACTGACTAATGATTATTTGTAGCACAAATGCAATATTTGAAGTTAACCCAAACTGGAAGTGTCACCCATAAATTAAAACATGGCGGGTTCAAAAAAAGGTGGATAGAACAGATTTAAAGGGATAGTTCACCCCAAAATGAAAATTCTGTCATTAATTACTCACCCTCATGTCGTTCCAAACCAGTAAGACCTTTGTTCGTCTTCGAAACACAAATTAAGATATTTTGATGAATACCGAGAGCTTTCTGACCCTGCATAGACAGCAACGCAACTGAAATGTTCCCAGGTCAAGAAACTTAGTAAAGACATCAACCGTAATTTTACGAAGCTACGAGAATACGTTTTGTGCGCAAAGAAAACAAAAATAATGACTTTATGCAACAATTCTTCTCATCTCGTCTGCAGCAGTGCATCGCCATTGTGGAGAGAGTATCACACGCATGCGTCATCTGCATGTAAACAACGCATGCGTGTGTTCAGCGTAAACAGCAGAACGTGCATTATTTTTTGTTATTTTTGTCGCATGGACTATTTTACCAATGTCCTTGCTACGTTTCTGGATCTGGGAACATTTCAGTTGCATTGCTGTCTATGGGAGGGTCAGAGAGCTCTCAGATTTAATCAAAAATATCTTAATTTGTGTTCCGAAGATGAACGAAGGTCTTAGAACGACATGAGGGTGAGTAATTACTGACAGAATTTTCATTTTTGGGTGCTATCCATTTAAATAGTTTCATTATTAATATACATATTTTGTTGTTGTTGTTCAACTCTTCCAGAGAGACCTAAACCTCTTCTGACTGTTCAGCCTGAACCATCCCAGATATTCATTGGAGATAAAGTCACTCTCACATGTGACATACAGGGTGAAGGTTGGACATACACATGGCAGTGTGGAGGTAGAGGGCAGGCCTCTAAGAAGAAAGAGTTCAACATCACTGCAGTGTCCAAACAGAAACGACATGAGGGAGAGTAATTACTGACAGAATTTTCATTTTTGGGTGCTATCCATTTAAATAGTTTCATTATTAATATACATATTTTGTTGTTGTTGTTCAACTCTTCCAGAGAGACCTAAACCTCTTCTGACTGTTCAGCCTGAACCATCCCAGATATTCATTGGAGATAAAGTCACTCTCACATGTGACATACAGGGTGAAGGTTGGACATACACATGGCAGTGTGGAGGTAGAGGGCAGGCCTCTAAGAAGAAAGAGTTCAACATCACTGCAGTGTCCAAACAGAAATGCAAGTGTTGTTATAAATTAACTTCAGGTCAACAAAACTTTTGCTTTGTGTTGGATTATTAATAGCAATATGAGAGTTACAGTATAGGCTTATCTCATTGCAGATAACATGAATCCAGGCCATTTTCAACCAGAAATTTCATTAATCTAGTCTAGCATGCCCCTGGTGACTGTAACATGTAACTAATAAAAATAAATAAATAAAAATGTATTATTATTATTATTATTAATTATGTTTTCAACTCAAAAGTAAATATGCATGTAATGAAGGTATTTCAATAAATTTAAAATCGTTGTAAATAAATGAATAAATCCAATTAAACTTACTAATGCCTCCCCCAGTCTCATTTGCGTAAGAAGTTGGCGCCTGTTGAATCTGTGTTTTGGCAGATAAGAGTAGCCTCGAAAAAATGCTTCTTTAAATGTTAATGTAGTAACAGTTCTATTTAGGACCATATCATCCTAAAATCCTAAAGGACTTGTATATCGAAATGGTTCTTTGTGTTAAGAGTTTAGGGTTCTTTATTCCTACCTTTTTGTTTTTCAAATCTGCAACTGTTAAAGCACCTCATTATTGATTTTCTGGAGCTCAACCATCCAACACTCTCAACAGATAAATTATTTAATGTCTGTAAGTTTTAACTTTCAAATTGTAACTTGTTTCCCACTGGCTTCACGAAGGCCAAAAGTGGCAAAAATGGGACAGTATGTGATCCCTTCAAAGTGTTAAAAGGGAAAAAAGTTATATAAAGTCATGAGATTAAAAAATAATAATAATAATCCAACAATGGATTATAAATTTAATATATATGTTACTTAGTGGAGAAGAGGAAAGAAGTAGGCCTATCCTCGGATTAACAAAGTTGCTCACACACATGACCAAAAAAACTTAAAAGAGAAAAGAGCATGATTGTTTGGAAATCAGTTACAATTTTAAAGTTAAATTTGTATTTAAATTTAAGAACGAAATCATTTAAAGAACCCCAAAACTCTAACACAAAGAACCATTCTAGCAAAAAAGGGTTCTTCAAAAAAAAAAAAATGTAGGTAACTGTGTTGAATGTTTTCTTTAAATAATGTCCATACATCATAAAGTGGTTAAGGAGAGTGTTCCATTGAGAATGAGCACAAAATATAATTTACACCAAGAGGAGGACCATTAACATCCACATGTTATTTCGTCTACACTAAACCAAATCCAATTTTTACATTTTAGAATATGAGCTGCTTAATCATCAATTTTCAGTCAGATTTACTAAAAATGTTGGTGCCTGGATTGTTTACCTCGAATCATGCCCGACAGATGCCAGTTTTAAAGCAGAGTAACTCATACCTTTATCTGCTTTAAAAAAACATACTTTGTAAAAGATGTTGATAAACATGTTTATAATGCTTTTTGAACATCTTCATAAGTTTAGAGCATAAAAAAGGACTTACAAAAACCCTTAAAAGTAATCTATGTGTAGATTAGCCTTCATGTAGTCTAAAACTAGTAAAAAACAATTATAATTTGTTAAACTTAAAAAATATTGTTACTCCATAAAAGGTTACTACACTATAAAAAATAAAGGTGCTTAAAAGGTTCTTCACAGCCATGCCATAGAAGAACCATTTTTGGTTCTACAAAGAACCAGTCAGTCACAGGTTCTTTAAAGAACCGTCTCTTTCTTACCTTTTTATAATCTGAAGAACCTTCTTTCACCACAAAGAACATTTGTGAAACAGAAAGGTTCTTCAGATGTTAAAGGTTCTTTATGGAACCATTTAGACAAAAAGGTTCTTCTATGGCATCATAAAGCACCTTTATTTTTAAGAGTGTAATTGCGTTACTTTGTTGCTTTTTATGAAAAGTAACACATAACGTTACTTTTGCGTTACTTTTCATCATCTAGGCTGGGCTTGATTATTTATTTATTTTTTTTCATAAATAACCCAACAATTATATTTTTGGCAACTGTACGGGCCCTTTCACACCAAAAGTGAAATTAATAAGCCTAAAGAAAGTGCCTCTGCCTTTGCACGTCACTCCCAATTTCTCTCAACTTGAGGACAGGATGGATGTCAGTGAATACATGGTAAAACAAAGTAACTTGCATTACTTATTTGAAAAAGTAACTCAGATATTTCATTGTAAATTTTAAAGTAATGCATTACTTTAGTTACTTGAAAAAAGTTATCTGATTACGTAACGTCTCGGTTACGTATGTAACCCTCGTTCCCTGATGGAGGGAACGGAGACGTTATGTTGTGACGACATTATGGGAATTCACTTGGGAGCCCCAATCATCTCTGACTTTAAGAGAAAACGCCAATGAAATTAGGCTAGTGGATTTTGCATACCTGCGCCACTCCCCGTGCATACGGGTATAAATAGGCGACAGGTGCATCCACTCTTCAGGTTTTACGCTGAGGAGCCGAGAACTTGTCCCTGGCCACCAGCGATGGTTCGAGGTTGTGGCAAGGGGACACAACGTCTACGTTCCCTCTATCAGGGAACGAGGGTTACGTACGTAACCGAGACGTTCCCTATCTGTTGGTCACTACGAGTTATGCCGTGACGACATTATGGGGCCCTGGAAAGCGCCACAACCTGAACCCCGTCACAATCCTATGGCGTAGCCAAAGTTGGAAATCGGCCACGTGTCAGACAAACGCTATGCAAAGGTCGTAACCTTCCCACCGCCCCAGCGCAAATTCGCTGACCTTGGTACCCACAAGGACAATGACCAAGACAACGATCGTGGCTGTCGACGGAGGATAGAAAACGACCGCAACCAAGAGAACACGGCCGGAACGGCATCTTTAAAAAGGCGCGAACCGACCGTGATTTGCTCTTTTAGGAAATCTGCTCTTTTAGTTGAAGTGCCCAGGGGAATTGCTGCAGACAGAACAACCAGAACAGCTTCCAGACAGATGATGAATGGCTTTGTGGAGATCAACACGTTCATCCACTCGGCTCCGAAGCAAAAATCTGAAGAGTGGATGCACCTGTCGCCTATTTATACCCACATGCAGTGTGGATATGGAGTGGCTCAAGTATGCAAAATCCACTAGCCAAATTTCATTGGCGTTTTCTCTTAAAGTCAGAGATGATTGGGGCTCCCAAGTGAATCCCCATAATGTCATATTTGTTTTTACTTTGTAACTATTTACAAAGTCAACAAGTGTATGATGCTACAGTGTTTTGAAATCTGTTCTGATTGAACTATTAAAAAATGACTGTTGCATATTAATTTTTGTTTTGTTTTAATGGTAAAACAGTATTACAAGTATACAAAAGGTATTTTGTGTACTTCTAAGCATCAATGCACTTATTTATTTTACGTAAAAATGAAAATATTAAAAAGTAACGCTCTTTACAAATAGCATCTAACCACTGTTTACGCTTAGTGCAAATATTTTTTTTTTTGTGCTATTTACACTTAGTAAGACTTAAATAGCACTAAATAGCACATATCACTATTTGCACATATAGCATCTGCCTTACTTTACTCATAATTACAGAAAATTTGCTGTAATATATATTATTGAAGTCATTAGTAGTCATACATAATGACAGAAAGCTGTTCATTAACTCAGAATTGTGAAATATTTACAGACAAACCCAAAATAACTGTAAAGCCCCAGAGTTCAGTGTTCACTGGAGACACAGTTACTCTGAGCTGTAATGTGGGACAGTCAACTGGATGGACAATTTTCTGGTTCAAAGACTTCACGAGAATAAAAACTGGTGATAAAATGGAAATACTGAGTAATGTGAGTAACTCTAATGGAGGACAGTATAGGTGCAGTGCAAGAAAAGGAAAGTACTTCACAATTCAAAGTCAAAGAGTTGTGCTACCAGTAAGTGGTAAGTGCTGGTTTTTTTTTCTTTACTGGGCAGTCTAATTTTGAATTTGCTATAACATTATGCAAATTCATATAATCTATCAACAAGTATCAAGTGCAGTCAGTTAAATGAAACGCCTTGTGTCATTTAGACAGCTTAAAACTATGAAAGTTTTTTAAACATGTGAAGTGTGTCCTGCAATCATTACAGAGAGACCCAAGCCTGCAGTGCGTGTTCAGCCTGATGGACATGTGTTCAGAGGACAGACGGTCACTCTCACATGTGACATACAGGAGACAGACGTCAGCAGCTGGAGCTACAGCTGGAATAAAGATGATTCAGTGATTCATGTCAGTCAATCACAGGAATACCGAATCAGTTCTGTTAATGAATCTCACACGGGTAATTACAGCTGTACTGGAAGAGAAACACAAGGATCACGATACTCACACACCAGTGATAAAGTTACACTGACCGTATCAGGTGAGAGTCTTTATATCTGTTTATCACTCTGACTACATGAGCAAAAATGAACAGAACATGATTCACAAACAGGTCCAAGCGGCATTAAATTCAGACACAAATCACCTGGATTTTACATCAATGGAAGAATTACTGCTCACTAAGATCAGTGTATCCTGTTAAATTTGTATTCTTTAACAAAACAACAAGTCCTATTAAATCTCTTAGATGGGTCTAACATTTGTCAAATTTACAATTGTCTGGTTCTATTTTATGTTTTTAAGCTCCGTTATCAGTTCTCAAACTGCTCAGTTTTCTGCTGGCAGCTTCTCCATATCTGCTAGTGTCCGTCATACTGGGAGTCAAGTGCTACAGAGCTCATGGTGAGATCTCTCTCTTTCTCATCTGTTCTGCTACAGATGGGTTTATGATCTATTGTTGTTAACTTTTATTAAAATGTCACTTATTTCAAGTTTGGGTGTTTTACAGTTCAGACTGATGATCAGTGCTGTCACAGAGGAGTGAAAATCTACAGCTGTGATGAATAAACCCCATCAGTATTCTGTTTTTCTGTTTAACAGTATTTTTGGGGTCTGAATTAGACAATAATCTCTAAGTTCAAATGAACTCTGCTTGAGTCACATTAGTTTACTCTTTTAAATCTTTGCATTACACACTGTAAAACTTCTAAGCCAAATTCTAACAGTAACATACCATTGAAAACAATGCATTGAATCTTGTTTTCTTCTGTCAAAACAACTGCACTGAACATACCTGTCTGAGTGCCATAAGTATTATTTTTTTCCAAATAATGCAATATGGTTTTAGATTCTAGTTCTTAATAAACCTTTCTTTTGGAATCATCATTTTCAAGGCCCTACATGATTCAGTCCCAGGGATATGGGGACCTCAATGAGGCTCCATATTCAGATAATATTCATATTCAAAAATATGAGCCAGGGAAGTTTCTCAAATTTGGTTGATGCTCCGGGGGGTGAATACAGACCTCCTGTATTGAATCGATGGGTTTTTGTAAGAAAAATATCCATATTGAAAACGTTATAAACACTTTTCTCTCACTTCCGCTAACTGTCATGCGTGCAAGCCATTCAGGGCGTAACGCATGCGCCTGTGAAATATGCTAGTCTTGCGAGTTTGTTTACAGGAGCAAAGGAAGCAAAGTTTCCTTACTTTAGCAAAGGAAACCCAGTCTACTCTGGGCTTATATCCTACATTTTTCTTTACAAATCCTCGTTTTGTACTTCTAATTCTTGAGCGGTTTTTTGTTTTGCTCTCTCCTCCACACTTTCGTCACTAATCACAAGCGCAGTTATAGCGTTTATTGCATTGATTTTTAATAGGATAAACTTGTTGATAATCATATTGATATAAAAATACTTAGATTAAGAAAATATATTATTTCATTGTTATTAACAACATTAAGTGCATTAAACATTATTTTATGTCACGGTTTCCCAAACTGGGGTTTGTGAATGAACTGTAGGGGGTTTATGAGTTTAATGAAAAGCTAATAATTAATTAAATCATAAAAAATTTAAAATTAAAATAAGTCATTACAAAATCAATAAAAATAAAACACTTACTAAAAAAATGTTGTTTTTTTTTTATTTGTTTACCCGCATGACCATAGCCAACATCAGAGAACCATGAACATTCAAATGTGATTCTTAATTATTAAAATATTTATTTTAAAATCTCAGGGGTACTTCAAGTAAATATATTAGGTGAAAGACTATCAGATGAGAAAAAAGGTTTGTGAATTTTGAATTCATGAATTTGTGCATTTTAATGTGTTCTTTACAAATCCTCGTTTTGTACTTCTAATTCTTGAGCGGTGTTTTGTTTTGCTCTCTCCTCCACACTTTCGTCACTAATCACAAGCGCAGTTATAGCGTTTATTGAATTGATTTTTAATAGGATAAACTTGTTGATAATCATATTGATATAAAAATACTTAGATTAAGAAAATATATTATTTCATTGTTATTAACAACATTAAGTGCATTAAACATTATTTTATGTCACGGTTTCCCAAACTGGGGTTTGTGAATGAACTGTAGGGGGTTTATGAGTTTAATGAAAAGCTAATAATTAATTAAATCATAAAAAATTTAAAATTAAAATAAGTCATTACAAAATCAATAAAAATAAAACACTTACTAAAAAAATTTTTTTTTTTTTTTATTTGTTTACCCGCATGACCATAGCCAACATCAGAGAACCATGAACATTCAAATGTGATTCTTAATTATTAAAATATTTATTTTAAAATCTCAGGGGTACTTCAAGTAAATATATTAGGTGAAAGACTATCAGATGAGAAAAAAGGTTTGTGAATTTTGAATTCATGAATTTGTGCATTTTAATGTGTTTGAAAGACAAAATCCTTCTAAAGACATCGAAATACATGGTTAAAAAACCTACAGAGTGATACTGTAATTCAAATAAAAATGAATGTGTTCATCAGTGCAATATTTAAACACTTCTTAAACCTGAAATGATTTTTGTAAATCAGTGGTCAAGTGTTGTGTCGCCACCTGACTAATGACTGTTTTTTTGTGTGAATCTCCACAAAACTGGAGGACTTTCTGAGTGTATATAAGCAGAAGGCTATTTTAGAAAGGAACGTTTAAAAGATGAAAAAGAGGAATTAGGGAGACTCAATAAATTATGAATAATTTATTGCTATTTTGTAAATAATATGTAATCATCTAATCCATAAAAAAGTAACTGTAGTCTGATTACGAGTATTTTTAAATGTAATTAATTTTTGGAATCTGATTACATAATCCACACAAACCCAGCTCTGTCTCCCATTCCCGATGAATCACTGCAATGAATCAGTTCTTTACAAAGAATTTTGGTCAAACTGTTTAGCGTCATTGTCTGAATTGGTTCGTGATTCAGTTTGAATCATTTGCATAGTTTGCTAATGTGCCCTGAACTGTTCTTACTTCATTAAACTGAAACGCAATATTTAGAACAGAGAACGAAAATAAGGCTGGATGAAGTGGAATATAGACCTACGAACAATATGAAATGAAACCAGCATATATCTTTTGGCAGCGATGAAGGAGGTCTTGACGAAGATCAAAGCCTGTGTGTACAGCATGTAAACAACTCTGTAGGTAAACCAATAGATTACCAACACAGTGATAACATCCAAAGCTCTGATAGTATCATGGCATTCTTTAAAGCTATTGGAATAGCATGTAAACAGCATGGTACATATTAAAATATCAATTGTCTTTAATAGTATCACAACTATTTTCACTTTTACCTGGGGTGTTATTAGGACTTGTTTTAAAGATTTTCAGTTTGTTTAAAAAATTAAAAAATATATGAAAATTTATAAACACAAAGTTAAGATTAAGTTGAGTAAGCTTCCTTTTCCATCATGTCTAGTGAAACAACTTCATCTTTAGCAGGGATCAAAATGAACATTGTTGTAGTATTTCAGTCAAACATATTTTGTGCTATTTTTGATGATGATCTGTCCTGCTTTATAAGTAAAATGCAAGTTAAATTGTTATATTTTTATATAATATGTAAATCATTCCATACATTAAATGGTTAAAGTACATATTTTTTCAATATACTCACATTTTGGGAGGGTTGTGGCTTCAGAAAAAAAAAAACCCACTTATTTTAATATTTCATCTTTTTACCAGAACAATTTTGCAGGTTCAAACAAAAGAGCATATTTGGTTTTGCTCTGGTGTATTCCTGATCATGTTGGCTCAGGTTAAAATGGGTTCATTTATTTATCCCTTTTGATACAAAAAATATAATAAAAAGGTTTTTGCTTTATCATTACAAAATACTAATTTTACAGAATGTAAGAAATGATGATGTGACATGTTTTCAACATTTACATTATGGTTTAATTTTAAGGCATAATATTACAGTTTAAATACTACAAATGACCATCTCTCTTAGTTCATCATCTGCATATTCTGGTTCGAATTGCAATTCATCCTCTCTGTCTAAATCTTCAGATATGTTTACGAAGAATGTTTTATGTACAGTGTGCATCTTCCTCTGCTTGTAAACATGGCACAGTGCATCCAGGTTCTATGTCAGAATGACGGCTCCTGCGTCAGCAGCAATACACGCAGGCATCGTGGTACTCTCATGAACGCATGTTTAAGACTGACACAGAAAAGAAGAAATTGTTGAATAAAATCGTTACTTTTGTTTTCTTTGCGCACAAAAAGTTCTCGTTGCTTCATGAAATTAACATAAGGTTAACAACACCTGACAAATATAATTGATTTTTTTTTTTTTACTGGCCATAAAATTGCATTTAATTTGGAAACGCCAAAACATGGTCTTTTATCGAACTTCAAAATTTCATTAAAGTTTTTTTTAATTAGTATTATTATATACTGTTCTGTCTTGTGAAGTGTCAATACATTGACATTTAATAAGCCATTGAAACATTTGCTCACATGCTTGTCTAGGTCAAAATGACATGCAATGTGCATTTTACTAGAAGTCAGAAGCTTTTTAAGGTACAAAAAATAAATCACCTAAAATTGCATACAATTTTCTTTTCTTCGTGGTCCACATGTAAATGTGGCTAAAGGTTGGCCTTTACTGATCTGAGGTCAGTTTTGTAGTTTTCTCCAAGCGTGGTGCTAGATTTTAAACCTGTACCTACAGCATTTACGAGAAGATCAGCATTTAGCGATGCCCCTCATGGTCCATCAGAACTGATATGTCTGTCCTCAGAGACATCGGTTTGACCTTTATTAGTTCGCTGCACACTGCGCTGCAGACAGCATTTGAAGTTCTTGAAAACAGAAATACAAGCACCAAAGGGGGCGTTTTAAAGGGCATCTGGAGGGTCAGGGTCTGTCAACGGTTGATGGGCCAAACTTGAGACTATAAAAATAAAGCATTATTTGGACTCGATGTATTAAAACGTGTTGCATTATAGCAACAAACTTAGACAAAAATGTATTCTTTTACTCTATTGTTTAATATGATCACATTTATTGCTGCTGTTGTAACCCTAGCGTCAGTCGCTAGTGCGTCTCTTGAGATCAGGGGAGTGAGGTTTACCTGCACAGCACTTACTCGCTGGCCTCCGTTACACTGTGTCTACCAGACATACATGGATGGACCCTTTTCACAGGCGACACATGCATTTGCGCAATAATGAACTTCGTAAATTTGTCTGTTAGTATACATGTTCTGTTATACGTTCTGCATTGCCTCTCTAAGAGTCACTGTATTTACAAAACGGGAGAGAAATGACAATAAACCTATACTACTGACTTGCGATTTTGGGTGTTGGGAAATTGGAAAAATTGACATTCATTTGGAAACGTTTCATGCATGCAGACAAACTAAAACAATGTAATTAGAACGTGAAACATGAATGAAGTGTTTTACATCCTGACACATAAAAACCTCAGCACTGCTAGATCTGATCTGACCAAACTAGAAAAGGTCATATGATAATTGCTGTGAATTTAGGCTAATTAGAATTGTCAAGAGGTTTTATCATCCATTAGAGATAGCTGGATTCACTACACATACAAAAAGCATGGCAACGAATGCACATCTATCTGTCTAGTGGTTGTAGAGGAGACTGAAATTTGAAGTTTATGCTGGTGAAATGATGTTAGCATGGCCGTGTTCATTACCTTAAAAGGCTATAGTGCAGATAATGACTAGAAGACCCAACATAACAATTAATGGACAAATGAAAGGAGTCGACTAATGCACTCAGACACACTTTCAGTTAGATTGCATATTATTTTCCTCTAATTGGTGTTCCCCTAAAATCTAACAATGTGGTCTGATAAAATAAAATCTCTACTTGATGTCATAAGTGATAAATTATAGATTCTTTCAAACGACTTAGAAATAGACCCCCTGCAGACAGATACAAACGTTG